TGTTACCCCCACAGTCTGTTACCCCCACAGTATGTTACCCCCACAGTCTGTTCCCCCCTCCCCCTCACATTGGACCTACTCAAACATTGTCTCTCACTACTTATTAACACTTCTTTAAAATGTCTACAAACGTCTAATAGTAAGAGACATTGTCTAATATCCTTCAACACTAACAACTTAACAAGTATTGTTGCCACAAACTTGTCCCAATTGTTTCTACTCTTTTGTTGCCTGCTTTTTAAATTAAGAGGGTTGCCAGTCTTCACTAGTTTTCACTATAGTCTAGAAAGTTTCTGAGTTAATACTTTTAGTGCGCGATTCTCGTGGCTTCGTAACCCTAATGTCGACCATACCTGTCACAATCAATTAGGCAAATTGCAGTTCACAATCCTTGCTAACAAACGAAGTTTGTCACTAATTTCTCAGAATTAAGAAATTACAACCCTCTCTTCGTAATGTGTCGCTAAAGTTTTAATTATTGATTTAACATTAAATTCCAGCGAGCACATAAATTAGACGCCCTATGTTACCATCCTGCCCTCTGTTACCATCCTGCACTTTTAATATTTAATTTTATTAGTGCAGATCTTTTGTCGCCACTGTTTGCACCGATCAGTTTATTGAATTTGTTTGCTCACTTCTCAGTTTCTTCACTAGTACAGGTAACAGGACCGTGATAATATCCTTTATTCGAGACTTCTCCGTTACTCTCCACATGCGAGTCAGGGATACTAGGACGGGTTATCTGGTAGGACTGGTGCTCGTTAGTAATCTATTGTTACAATCATGACACTTGACAGTGTATAAACTACAAAGGTATAATACGATAAACCGCACATTTTAGATTTATGGTACCAAGAGTGCAAGATGGGAGTCGTCCTACTTTCCGAAATAGTGTACGATCTCTCCCTATAATTTGAGTATTCGCGAGTATTCGTGAATTAATTAAAGTTACCTATACAAATTGACTGTTCTTTCTTCCCCTGAATTCTTTACTGGCTCACTAAGACATTGTTTTATCCATCTCGTGCGGTCTACGTTTAAACATTTGATCAAACTTGAGGATTCTCACAGCTCACTAGGGATGGTTGGTCGCTGCTTAAATTTATAATATTGCTTGAAAAGGGGCCGTTTGTATTATTTCGTTTATAGACGGTTTGTGCCTGACTTGATGGACGATTCTGTTTTAATTAACTAAATGACTAAATGGCATTTGAGTAATTAAGCTTGATCTACCGACCCATTTTACTGTTAATTTGACAAATTGACCCGCTGAAAATAACTCCACACAATCTCATACTTTAAAAACGGGAATTATGGGATCTGACCATAGTTTAATATTCCTAGTTATCCCATACCGCAGGACGAGCTCAATCTGCTATAAAACGTCAAATTTTGCGGTTCATTTTAACACCAAACTCTTTGCATATTCGTCGAACATAAACTGATCAGATGATTAGATCACGATTAAGATTTTTCAGGACTCTCAGCGTTCTCGGAGCGACATCCACCATTTTTACCTGGCCTTTGTGTTAAGTCGAGTCGTAGTAAAACTAGTTCAACTTGCTGCACCAATTAATCAGGAATTTTATTACACGTCTTAGTTTTTTATCAGTTGGTATTAATATCCTCTTTCAGAGTGGTACTAATTTTTAAGCTTTGTAGGGATTTCAAGGTTATCTTTAATACAACTACAAGCTGTAATAAAAATTCGTTGGATATTTCTGGAAGGATAAGAAAGGGTGAGATTTGTGTGCCGCTTACAATCATTCAGCTTCTGTACTCTGTAGGGCATAAGAGCTACCCTAAAAACAGATGTCATAAACTAATGAGATTTAACGTAGAGAACGTAGTGTAATTCGCCGTCAAGTTAGTAAGAGTTTCTAATTCTTGGAATGAATCTAATCATTAGTACTAGGAGCTTCTTCATCAGATATTTTGATTCTCAGCATAGTTTAAATCATTACATAGGATTACAAGGAATGTTGTGTTGCTTACTTTGGACATTTAATTGCTGTTTATTATCTTTCGTCACGGATGCCATTAAAACTATTCATTTTGATTTACTAGACGATTTAGTATCTAGACAGCATTTTATCTTAAATACTTTTATCTTTGAAGGCGGTGAATCTAGCAAAAGATTGAAGCACGGATGTTGAAAGTTCAATTAGAATCTCCTGATTGTCGTAAAGCGTCGTCCATCAACACCTGCTTTACTGTAATTTCCGTGCCTATATATCTTGATACAATATATCTTCGTTGCTACAGTCTTGATTTCGTGATTCATTTTTCCAATATTTAAAATCTATTTTTTCTATTTTTCGAAAAATATTTTTCTTCGTCTGTTTTCTGGTACTTCAAATAACCTCGTTAATAAAAAATAATAATTATACCAGGTATTCAAACATGGTTTCGTACAACATGTCCGATAGTGAAACAGGCCCTAGCAGAATGACGACATCCTACATGATGCAGATGTCGGAGACATCCCCTCTACAGCCTCTTGAAACCTACATCTTCGCATCTCTCAGCATCCTATGTTTCGTCTTTGGATTGGCTGGTTCATTCTTCTCCCTGCTTTACTTCGTGAACAAGTTCAAAACAAAGAGGACCTCCAGCACCCTCCTCTTCATCCTGATAAACATAACGGACGGGGTGATCTGCTTCCTGATAGTATTTGCGGGGGTGTCCCATATAACGGGGCCAACCCTCTTCACTAACTCCATATTCTGTGATGTTTGGGGAGTGTTGTGGTATGTTGCTGCTAGAATGTCCATATTTCTGATAGGTTTCCTCAGCATTTCCCGTACCTACATCATTAGCAGACCCTTTGCTGAGATGAAGATATGGCGTGTGGTGGTTCCAGCTGGGGTCTACTTGGTGATCATGGTGGTTCAGCAGACCTTTGTTTTCTGGTTTGGGTCGAGGTATCATTATGACGCGGATTTTGGGCACTGCTCCATCGATCCTATGGAAGCGTTCCACAATCTGGATGAAAAGAAGATCAACTTTCTAATGCAAGTGTTTTTCTTCATCTGTGTTCCCCTGGAGAACATCTTCCCATGGGTTTTGGTGATCATAAGCTGCGTTCTGACTATCAGATCTATCAACAAATACAACCGACAGCTGAGTAACGGTAGTAACAGTAGTAGTGGTAGTATTAATACCCAGCTAAGTTTGAGCATAAGTGCTTACTGCAGGTTTCGCAGAAAGTTCAAAAGCAACTCTCAACACTCTCAACTCTCCCAACATGACAAGAAACCAACGACTCTCCGACCAAACGAGGACACTAAGCGGACTGCTACAATAAACATCTTGATACTGACAATTGTGTACCTTACGATCAACACATTCTCTGTTGCTGTCTTCACAATGGACTTCATCGAAGTATTCTTTTATGACAAGGTTGCCATATACGACAAGATCTCCCATCGTGCTGTCAATATAATAGTTCTACTGGCATGGGTTTACGCTGTGGCCTTGAACAGTGCCTGTAACGTACTCGTGTACTTTTGTAGACTGGGAAGCTTGCGGAGGTTCACGGTAGCCACGGTGACTAATTGTAGAATACCGGACTTTCAGGCTGCCACTCGACATCAAATATTTGCAGCACAAAATCGACTTCGCTCTCCAACGACTCTTAGTATTGTTTAACAAAATATACGATTATAGTTTTTGTCATTTGATAATATTATCAAATTTTTTAAAACAACCAAATAAAACCAAAAGTATTTACTATAATCGAATATCAAATTGTCAACAGGATTTGAAGCTCGTTACTGATATTTTAATTTGTAACGTGTATTCTTGTTTTTACAACATGATTTAGAGCTCAGTAGAAGTACCAACTGACTGGAATAGAAATGAAGTTTTAATTTTATGTATAATTAGAAAATTAGAAAATTATAACTTATTTTATTCCTCCATTATTTCCGGCGTATAATTTCGTTCAACAATATATGCGGTTAATAAACGATCGCCCAATTATTCAACTTGGAACTGATTTCTCTATTACTCCTTGTGTAATCTTACTATATATAAAGCGAGACGATATATATATATATGTGTATATATCCGTGCCATTTTACTGACACCACGGCATCAACTTTAACGCGACTTTCCGCAAAAACCGTAAAAGATATACAACTGAAACTTTTTTGACTGGGTCAAATGCTTTAATGGCCTTCGAATCAGCATGAAAAAATAAAAAATTTTAGTGCCCAAATAATTTTAGTGCCCAAAATTTGGACTCTCAAGTGGTGTCAAAAACGCGAATTAAATAGGTAATAATTATTTTAGTCTCTCGAGTCTTGACACCACTTTAGGGTAAGACGGGTTCCTGCTAGTGTGTATAATACGCCTACCAAACACAGCATAATTTCATTCATTTTCTTTTTCTAGCTGACCAAAATAGTCAAAACTCGAAATTCAACAAGTATGTATTTCTCTTACTTTGTATCCCAGTGCGATGCTATATGGCTCCAGTAAATAAGTTAATAAAACGTGTTGTAGGTTAAAGATCGGGGTGGCATCACCATGTGGCCTAGTTGATTACATTCATTAGTGTCCGAGTGTGAGGTAGCGCACGTTGCTATCCACAATAATTCCCACAATCAATTAAATGTATCAGACATGTTGGAAGAGTTTGATACATCGCTAGGCAACGTGGTGATTGTGAGATTTGTATTTTGTAAGAGCATGCTCATGATGAGCATGCTGAGCTTGATGATGTTTAGAGATAGTAATGCAATTATATGACAAAGTTCCGACTTCAGCGATAGAACATCGCTGAAATATAAATTTTTAAATAATAATTTTAAATAATATACCACCTAAATCCGAATATTTAGGTGGTTTATTATATACCACGTATATATAGACTAACATTTAACGAGATTGACAAGTGGATTCACACTTTCTTATGGGTTCATTATAAAAGGAATATAAATTGACTGGCTAGACAAAAACTGTCGTCAAATTTAAACCCCTCATGATATCAGGTAGAACGGGTAGAAGTGTTAGGGAGAGTATTACCACCTGACTCAGACCTGACCCTGACCACGTACACTAACAACACTAACAACACTGATGTTATTGTTAATGATAACAACTTGGTCTCTACCTTCTCTCTGGACCTTGTTATTCCTATGAACGCTCCTCAACAGCAGGTAACAGTTTGTTGTCAAGCTCTCCGGTCTCCCATGTGAGAGAGAGCTGTAAACGGGAGCTGTTATCCAGGAACTAACTCTGAAAATTTGCCCACTTTGACGTAAAATTTGACGAAATTAAACAATGAAGATATAATGCCGGTTAATTATTGTGAATAACACATTACCTTCTCCTCCTCCCCAGTTGACATGGTTTGTGACGAGGATTTGCCAGCGAATCAAGGAACAGCGCTCAGTCATGATAGTCATGTTAGGAGAAAACGACCTGACCATGTACGGTACGCCGCAGTGCCATGGCCTATTGCGCCATCTTGTCAAATCTGTGAGTCTGGTTTTAACGACGTCTTATCTGCCAGTCTAGTTTAGTCAAATCTGTCAGTCTAGTTTTATAGCATCATGTCATCTGCAAGTTTAGCATTATCACAAGTTTATTTCAGCTGTTGTCGATGAAGAAGACAGAAGAGTTGTTAACTTTGTCCGTTGGCACTTTTGTCAATAATCAGGTTAATAAGAACTAAGAAAGCAGAAATACAATAAACTAGGTCAATTACCTAACCCATCATTCTATGACTTTCGGCGTGGCAAAGTTAGTACTGCGTTAGCAATTACGCAGATCTATATAAAAGTTAACTGTTCTATTTCAGATGTGTGATGGGTTAAGCGAATTCTCCATGCAAGATGGGAAAGTTACTGCTGTACCAATTACAGCACTAGATCTAGGAATTGAACTACTTTCTCAGGTAGATAATCATTATTGCCTAATTATAGAACATAGTACTCAAGTTTGGTGTCAAAAAATAAATTTTCAAATAGATACACACAAATACATCAACCAATAAACTCAAACAGAAGGAAGGTTGTCCAAGTCCACAGTTCCAGTCTCTGCTGCCTGCTGAGCTTGTTTCTTCAGTAGATCTGCTCGTCTCTGTTTAGCTCTTCTGTTTTGGAACCAGGTCCTGATAGCGGTCTCCGACACTCCGATCTGTACACTGAAATCTAGGCGCTCATCTCTGTCGATTGTAGGGGACTTTTTGAACCGGATTTCCAGGCATTCCAGTTGGGCTGAGGTGAAGGAGGTACGGTTGTTAGTGATGGAAGCATGCTTGCTGTAGGGTGTATCAGCTGAAGGGGGAGAAGAGGATGAGGAGGATCTCTTGCGGGTTTTACCAAAGGTAGGTGGGTTGAGGGGATAGTGGCTGAGCAGGTCTAGCAGTTCTGTCTTGGAAATTTCCGAATCCATGAGTTTAGTTCTGTACTGTGTTTGGTCTATCCAGTGGAATGTGCTCGGTGGAGGAGGAGGGTAGGAACCGGGTTTGTGGTGAATAACAACAGAAGGAACTGGTTCTATAGTCTCGTCTACACTGTCTTGAGGGAGAGGAGGAGGAGAATTGTAGAGAGGAGGTGGAGTAGTCCTGGAGGGAGGTGTAATCTGTGTCTGTATTTGTGGGGGAGAATAGGTCTGTGGAGGGGATGAGTACATCTGTGGAGGGGATGAGAAGGTCTCCTCGGATGAATATGTTGAAGGACACAGGTAGGATGGCGGAGATGTAGTCTGAATCATGTCAGGAGAGCTGTGCTGTGAAAAAGGTAAACATTTAGGAGGGCTGATAGGAGGGTAGAAGTAGTAGGGAACTGGGAGGACTGGCTGACAGGAGTATAGGTAGGAGTTCAGGAGTTGTTCCAGTGGAGTAAATGACATGGTAAAGTATTCTGTAGTTGTAGAAGTAGTGGGTAAACAAGGAAGATATTGTGATATGACTCTTAATTCTGGGTTCAGTATTTATACTACCGAAGGGATTTGATCGCTTGTGACAAGCTTGTTAGATGCCTTAGTTCCATTAGCTTGTTGGTTGGATGTGGATCGCATGTTCGTGCTGGTAAGCATGCCATGAAGGACGTGATCACTCGAAATGCATGGCAACGTGTCTCTTAGACGATCGAGATCACATCGTGTCGCATAACGATCACATCAGAGTATAGAATTTAGTTATCGGATCATATTTTCATGACCTCGTACTGGATCACATTTTCCAGATCAGATCATTATCTTATCGTAAAAATTATCGTAGGTCACATTACCAGTCATACAAAAAATTCTATAAATCTCAATTTGTAAACTACTGTCTGATCTGATTTATAAACATTGTAGTTTGATTTTAAAAGTATAATTATCAGAAATGCTAAAAATTTGATAATTGCCCAGGCTGACATACCAGACGAAGTTGAGCAAGTTCTGCACCAGTTTACAATCAGAAACAGTGATGCCAGTACAGGATCAGTTTCGATATTGGAATGTGATAGCATGGATGCAGATTCTAGTGAAATACTGCATCAGTATCGGGCCTGTGGTAAAGTTTCGCCAGGAAGCCGACCTAATGTGCTCTATGATACTGTTAATGCATACACAGGTATTAGCTTAATGACTTCCATACAGTGTATTGTTCGTTTTTGTTCATTTTCGTTAATAATTCGATCACCGTATTGTATCTTTTAATGTTTTGCACGTTAAAACTCGAATCTTATTAATAACCGCCAACTGATGTGAGGCATTTTGCGTAACGCGCATTGCGAAAAAGGTACACAAATGTACTTATCTTGCACTCAGTGTAACATGATCTGATGCAGGTCACGTACGCGCACGCGAATTGACTAACGTAATCAAGCTTTGGTGCATGTACTCAGTATAGTACTGCAAACGGTTTATTATGGGCCATGGGGATGAGTTTTAGAAATGAGCTTCTAATATACAAAATGTTCATTTCAGAAAAAGGTGGGGCGGTGACTGTGTTTCTAAACCTAAAACCAGATATCCAATCTACAGCAAACAGTCAGCGGCTTTTAAAATACGCATCTCAAATAACCGGAGTTGAGCCTGTTACCCAAAACAGGAAAAGGGGGATATTCTCATTCAGGAGCTGACACGTGTTTTTTCATTAAGTGTTCTCCAGATCAAAGATTTGGACTTTCATTTGTTTAATCCTGGAACTTAGTTTCTAATTTATTTGTTTAAATTATTTATCTGAAGACTGTAACATAGGTCTGTGCCCTGTGGACTGTGGTCACGTGCTTGTTTTCATAATTTTGTTAATTCAATTTCTTTCTGTATCGGTTTTTGTAGCATCGGTATAATGGTTTCTTTTCTATGTTAAGGGTTGATGTTTGTGATTGATTAATTATTTGTTAATGTTATCAAATTCCAGAAAACTTTTTTCCTTTATACATCACCAAGAATTATCATCTAACAGGAAACAAACGCATTCTATGAGCAACAACAAAAACATTAGGAAAATATCACAAGTAACATGTTGCATTATAGCCGGGGAAAAAATTGTTCAGTACAAGTTAAATTGAGCATTTGCATGAACACTCTTCAGCACTTCTTATTCCAAATAAAGCCGATCACATGGGTAATTCACATTGGAACTCACACCACTTATTTTCAGTTTGAACAGGGAGTCAAAATTAGGACCTGAACACAAAATCATTAAAATCAAGCAATCATAACAATCTGATTCAGACGAAAAATGAAAAACATGAACAAGAATAACTTCGGATGAAAGCCGCAATAACAAAGTTTAACCTGAGCGATTGAGCCTGATTTGCTATTTATTGGATAGCCAAATCTTTTAAGGGATATTGTGTAATTGTGCTCTACTTTAGATTATAACTTCACTCATATAGAAACATTGGGATCACCAAGGTAACATAAATCATGGCCTCTTGCCTCAAGAACATTTCCACTAGAGTTTTTCCACCAATATTACTTAATAGTTCGACAGTCCGCTTTAGCATTTAGGAATACAGTCGATATTCGATATAATACTAAATATTGCAATAAAGTCTAAAATCACCATCTATAGTTTATATTGAACTGGTTTTTAGCTGCAACTCATGGAAAGCATTTTCGTTGCTTCTAGGCATTAATAGGCCAAACAATAGGACAAAATAACTGAAAAAGTCTGATCGCATGCAATTGTAATATTCTTTAATTATTTGGGCCTTTCGCTTGCTTTAGTTCTTTAAAGAAAGGTGTTAATTAAGTCTCAAGGTGGACGAATTCGGTACATCATATACCTCTGTTTTCAACATGTTTTAATGCAAACGAAAAACCCTTCGGATACCTTTAAATAGCACTATCATTATGATTAATAATTGATTAATATGATAGCAAAATATTTTGGTATGGTACTTTATACATAAAAAGATAAATAATAGATAATTAAGATTCTGGTGGCTGGAAGTCACAGTCCAAAGTATTGATCTCAACTGGAAACATCTGTTTTTAAAGGTCTTTTCAATAAATGTTTGCAGGAATGTAGCGTTAACAGGAATGTAGCGTTAACAGGAACATCGTAGAGACGTAGAGTAACAGAGTTTAAGGGCATCCTCAAAGGCTGTAAACATCACACGACCTGATAGGAAGAAAGATAATTAGAATTGCTTGATACAAAAATGATTTTTCTACCATAAGCTCTATTTTATTGAAAACAAGAATTGCGCCCGTTGTTTCGTTTTGGCGGACGCTAGATTTCCGTTCACTATAACTATAAATATAAGCTCCAATCAGCTCACTTCATAATAATAATATTGATACACATCAGTACACAAAACTACGCATGCCACGTACAAATTGGGCTTATAACCTAATACTATACATTGCATAATATACATTAAAATACACTCGCGCCGCGCATTCATTGACAGGCTAGCTTTATACATCACATCTCCGCAAGCAATACTCGCGCGCTGCACTGCGCGCCAGTTGTCATGGTAACGGACGGAAGTAAGGACAGATGACAACATATTCAGACCCACCTAGCTACTGCTATCTCCAAAATCCACGTTTTTCTGCAAAAACGTCCATTCGTAACCTTTCACTATTGCCTTTTTACAAAAGGGTGAACGGAAAAAATGTAAGATAGTAAGCTTTTTAACTTAGGCTTCTTTTTTGGACTAGATCCAAAAAATTGCGTACGGTCGGTCAAACAATATTGCGCGCTAGCTGGTTACCAGATTTTATGCGCGCGCGATTCAGATAACCGCGCGAAGTACATTTGGCTTACACAAGAGAATCATAATTAGGCGGTAGCGCCCGCCGTCCATAATAAGCGCTCCTGCCGCTTTTTCCTCTATAAATAACTCTAAATGTAGATTTCAAAACAACACAAATTGTCATGCTGCTACCAGATATGGATAACATATTAACATATCTGAATCATTGCACTCTAAGGCTTCTATGTTCTGGTAGGTTCTGTCAAACAACAGAACAGATTGTGTGAGCCAGTCGCACCAACAGTTGCTCGGCAGTTGGTGTCCAATTAGATCCGACTTATAGTGCAGGAATTAGAGGGGTAATATATAAGGGTAATAAGGGTAATGTTTCCTCGTATTGACATGCAGCTCTCTCCCTCTCGCGTAACGGTAACCAGTAAAACAGGTATATTCCAGTTAAAAGTTGTAGAACTTTACGTTAAATAAAACCTACACCGTTATTCGATATCGCTGCTTCCCATATCAGTTCCACTGTAGTACATATCATCATCATCTGACATAGTAGTATCACCGTACCTGAGGTATTATGACGTCACCAGTTAAATCACACTAGTGAGATAGATCACAAACTGACGGTATAATATATTGAGTTTAGTTACAACATAGAATTTAATGTTCAGTAAGATGATCTCATATGTAGACTATAGTTTACTCAGTGCGCTTAAGGGCGTTATTATACACGCTATATTACACGTTATTATATACGGTGTTGTGTGCCAAGTGTGTAACGTGCAACAGAACTGATGATAGTTTGACAGTCAAACTAAAAAACGTTAGCCTGTCAATGTTTATCATGTTTACTATCAACAGTGAATACTTGGCAGCAATGCAGCCACATGCAGTGCATGTATTCAGTGATTATTCAAGTTCTTAGTGTTATTGTTTTGAAAGCTTCAGTAATGTGAATATTCTGAATTGTTTGAAAGTATTATGGAACGAATTCTGGCAGTAAATTAGAATGTGCCTGCAATGCGTGACAAAAGCAGACAGCATATATTTAAAGTTTAAACGTACGGATGAGCTTGGCAACTGAAAAATAGAATTCTCTTCATTTTCTTGTTGTAGAAGAAAAAGTTGAAGTACCATAGACAATCTCCGTAAGGATCAGAATCTAGATCCGAATTGTAACTGAAGAATTGAGATTTGAGTTATAACTGAAGAATTGCTACTTGAAATGGCAGGAACATCGAGACAGTTTTTGTCACGAGTCAAAACACATCGTTATGTACAAGCTATCGCTTTTAAAAATACAAAAGAATTTTGCATAAGAATATGTAAATAAAATTAGACAAAATGTTACCTGTAGAAAGAGCATTCCTGAAGACCGATCTCTTTGTCAATCGTATTCCATAAATGTTCCTTAATGTCACAAAAACTGTCACCTGAAATATACAAAGAAAATTAGATTACCATTTTAAAACATAAATAGAACCGAGGCTGCATGTTGCTGGAGCCTGGACACAGTGCATAAGAACCTTAAATTATATTAAAACCTTATCAGACAGTAGTGGGCCTGGGGAGGGGGGCGTCAACACTAGTTTCGCCTTGATAACTTTACAGAAGTTTTGGAATAATGATGTTTTTGAGTTAACGGAATTTTGCGGAGGAAAAATCCCTATCGTTTTAATCATATTTATGACAAACTAACTGCTGAATTATTCCTACTTTTTTGCCAAATCGGACATTTTTGGAGGAGACTGGAGAGGCCCCCCCCCCCCCTTTCCAGTATGTTTGGTGGGTGGGACATAATAAGCAGTTGGTACACACTACATGGGCTAATTAGAATTATAGAACAGTGGTGTAGGGTTACCAATTGTACCATGCTAAAACTCTGCACTATATAGTGTGGATGTACATGTTAAACCAGTAGAGGAGTGTTGCTTACCACCTGTCAAGTGTGTAACTATATATTATAAGGTCTTTACATTACCAAGTAGTTTCCGCTTACACACCTTTTTCAGTGATGGGCACCATCTCAAGGCAATATTTTGAGAAGAGCCGCCGCACCTACGTCCTACAATCTTCATCATAAAGTTTGGTTTTATATGGAGCCTCCACAAATCGGATCGGAGAACGAATGTATTATTATTATTTACAGCGATATTTAGACGAATAACTAAGGCTATTGACTTGTCGTGCATGTAAGTTAATAAGTTATTAACTTGGTACACACTTAATTAATACTGCGTTTAAAAGATTGATACTTTGGGTGACGGATTAATTCCTTGAGGTCGGTAAAAAGGCAAAAAATAAGGTCAAGTCCGGTCCATCATTTATTTGCAAAAGGATACGGCACCGGGAATTCCCAGGCGGTCACCCATCCAAGTACTAACCCGGCCTGCAGTTGCTTAACTTCCCAGATCGAACGAGATGGGGTGTATTCAACCGAGTATGGCCGTATCCAACATTATTGAAATTTAGACATTTATATTTATTGCAAAAGCTTTGTTCGGTTGATAAGTTGAAATACGCGGGGAATCAGCATGAAATAAGTTGACTTATTCGTAGGTTTGCAGAAAAAAGCAATTATATTTTTCCTAAAACATTGAGTCGTGACTGGTCGTGAGTACCAGAAATATTCTCCGATGACAACTTGTCTAGATTTCGAGACTATCATCTTGTGTGTAGTTGATTTAGGGTTTCAACTAATTTCATATGATTCTCCTTGGGAAAATAAATACTAAATATTTCATTGAATTATTTGTAAGATCTGGATATGTTCAGCTGTGTAAATATTTAATTTTATTCTATTCTTTTTCATTCTGTTCTATTGTGGGAGTAAGCTCACAGTTAAATTATAATTTACTTATAATTTACTTATAATTTACCTATAATTTACTCTCACAATATAATAGAATGGTAACTTCATTATAAATAATGGAGTGACAAAATCAAATTACCGGGGGCCGGGACCTTGGATATTTCTCTACAAATCAATGTTATCAGTGCAGTTCTAATATGATTTGTAAATTTTCTTTTAACTACTCGACTCTATCATTTACAACATTGATAATGGCGACTAGCGAGCTTAGACTATATCCAACTATAACTTAAAACAGTTGTTAACATGATTATAAAGCTATTTATAATCGCGATTAACTGTTAACACTATAAGTTAGTTACTTTTAAAACACTGTTACAAAATATCTCAACACATTTATTGGCGTGTTGCCTAAAAACTGCAGTCCAAAAATCACATACGATAACAGATTCGATTAGCATCCTGCATAAACAGTAAACACATTACATATTGTAACCTGATACTGCAGTGAACTGTACTATGTGCCCGGGCTTACCTAGCGATGTGTAGAAGATGTTGTGGATGTCCTGAGTTACTGTGTTCAGATTGGGCATTCTACAAAACTCCTCTGATTTGGTATTACTGAAGTGATAAGGTGTTAGAAGTTTTTATCCATAAATTATAAAACTAAATCAACGATATAATTTTGGTCAGAAGTGTAATAGTCACCTGCGGAGATCTTAGCAAGTTCAATACCAGATAAATTTATAATAAGCTTCCCGGGGGTTTCTAGTATTAGATTTAAGATATTGATAAAAGATAGATTGCATGTTGAAAATTGAAGCGAGTGTAAGAACTAAGAAGCTATGTATGAAAGCTATGTATGAAATGTGAGTATATTGATTAAGTATATTGCAAGAGCACACACACACACAGTACACACACACACATTGTCTTTATCCTTTGTCATTTGTCAGTAGCAACACATTAGAAATAGTAGGGACTAGGGAGTGGTACCTAATTCTATAATGACAACGTTTCTTTCATGTCAGATAATTGTTTATATTTAAATCTGAAAGAGAATAGGAAGAAAAGTTGTTGCTCTCATTATTGTTTTATTTGTTTGAGATAGGCTACCGATTTTCTATGCAAGCTCATCGAAACAGCCTGGAATGTATAAAATTGTTTGTATAAAATATGATAAATAACCTGAAATCGTAGTCAGGACGGAAAACTAGCGTTGAGTGTAGAAACGAGGCAGTGGAAGGTTCTGGTAGAACACGCGTCTTGTTCCTGTCCTGTTCCTGTTACTGTGGGACTGTGGTAGCCGTAACCAAGGTTAGGAGGGGATAGGGCTTGCAATCCTGTTGTTGGGAATATCATGTCAGATTTTTAAGAGAATGAGAGTAGTTTAGAAAATTAATACAGAAAATGAAATGACAGATATCTAAAAGTCGATGGAGCAAAGAGTGAACTATGGGATCTATCTAAAATCGTTATTTAATGGAGTTTATTAATAAGATAATCTTGCTGTTTGTTTTTTCACAAGTTGCTAATAATATGAATAATGATAATTAGACAAACCAGTGTCTTCTGAGGCATTTGTGATGTGTCTTAGCAATTTTTTGTCATCTCCTGTCATTTTACAGCTGTAACTTTCTAATCTGTAACAGAGTAGGAGTTATAATCTGGAATAAAATGCATAAAAAAGGAATACTGAGGGAATAAAAGAATACCTGAAATTTTCTGATGCACGGTTAATATAATGTTTTTCACACGATAATTTCCTAAATACCTTTTAAACTACATACAAAATTCAGCTTGGATAAAATGAGATCGATATACAACGCAAATTCTTTGAATTATTTTATGTTGACAGCTGAATAAAATTACACTTACTTTAAATGCAGTCTGCAACTTCCAGTGGTGAGGCTCAAAGTGTGAATAAGTTCAGATAGGCAATCCAGATGGGCATTTTCCAAGAGTTTCATCGTTTTATATATAAGGAAATAACTGAGACAACCCAGCAATTTAGCAACTTAAAATCTGCTGCAAACTCATTATTAATGATAAATGTTTTTTACTGTATGTTCTTTCTGATGTTCTTAAATATTTACTGGCTGAACTCAGCATGGAATTAATGAGTGTAACTCTTCTTCTCTGGTCTGAACTGCGTCCTTGCAAGCTAAAGTGATATCATGGTTAATACAAGAATTCAACACTGATTCTAAATTATAGGTAATCATAAAACATAGTACACATACGGAGCATTTGATTTCTCTTGGAGAATTTCTCTTTAGACTCTTAACTTGCGAACAAATTGAAGCAGCAAACTTTAGGCTAGAAACTTTATTGAATTGAAATAATCATTCCACGTAACAACGTCTTCTTCAGTTCTGTAATAAAATTGTTAAACATGTGTAAAAATTAACGACGGAAAGAAATTTAAAATAACATTAAAACAAAAAACAGAGAAATAAAATTTACGAAATATGACCCAAAAATGTAATTGCAAAAAATGTCAAAAAGAACAAAAAATACGACAAGAAGAAATGTAAGCTAATACAACTAAATACTGTACTACTCATGATACTAAACTAATTAGTAAACGTAAACTGGTTGTTCAGAATTCACAGTTCATGTGTAAAAACTAATGATAAAATCAGCACTTAAGCAACGATAACTCGGTTGTCATGGTTACTATCCAAGATAGTCCTATCAATACATTATTTACTAGTTAAACATCGACTAAATATTTGTACAAATAACTCAACTCAGAACGATCATTCATTTCAGGACTTAATCTCAATATATACATCGCTTCTACAATCTTTCTACGAACAGTTTTACTCTGTAAATCAAGTAACTTAAAAGATAAAACTGGGGTTCGGTTAGGATGTAGAGATGCGTAGTGCTATCCAAGAGTCTAAAGAGAAATTCTCCAAGAGAAATCAAGTTCAAATGCGACTCATAAATATAGCCCCCTTGAACTACATACGGAGCAGGGAATCATAAAATTCCCTATTATTCAAAAGTTTGGAATAATTTAAATTGAACCCTTACAATGCTATGGCAATACCACATGCTGTTAAGACACATTATAACAATTTAAAGAAAAATTTTAGCACTACTCTGTGCATTCATACTAACGTTGTTGTAAACCTGTGCAGTCGGGATGAGTGTCCATAGAATATTACATACATTTATAATATGATAATCATCTATCAAACAATATCAATAAACTTAAGTCAGCAGTGGCGTTACATACTGAAGTGCCGCCCTCCCAAAAAGGAGCCCCACTTGGAATGCTTGGTGTATGAAAACATAGTTAAGTGTAGTAACAAGTTATTTTACAGTACACACAACAGTAATACCCCAGAGTATGAGAGCACCCGGGTGCACCCCTGCAGATCTCGTCGATTTCAGGTGCCGACAGGACCTTAAAAATTAAAAGCAAACTTAAATTTTTCCCCTAAAATCAAGCGCTTTCTGCGCAAAAAATTGACCTCAACAGAAAAAATTAAACATGGCTTCAAATCCAAATTAGAACCAGAGATTTTTCACTTCCTCTCGATAAACTCAATTTTCAACTCAATATAAAGTCTCAAAGGGGGAAATTACTCAGGTCAGGATTGTAGGCAATGATTATGCCAAACCATACATTTTTGTAAATTCATTAAACTTTCAATCGAGTTTCCACGATGTTTTGACTAGTGCTACTGTTCTTTCTAGTTATGTTTGGTTGTGTAAATCATGCATGGAATCAAGCATTCCTATTAAACCACGAAAATCGAAGAGCCGGCATGATAGTACTGTGAACAAATCAGATGATAATACTGTGAACAAATCAGATTCCGAATCTCAGCAACCCAAGCAGGATTTGATTGCGTCACAAATGTCTTCATCCGAGGAAATCACAGAACACTCCACTTCTCAATCTAGTGTAGCAATTGACGATTCAGAGCTTCACGAGAAATCATCTGCTGCTGCGCAGGAGAGAATTTGTGAGAAGTACAAGCGTGGAAAGTGTCCTCATGGTCTCAAGGGGAAGAAGAAACATAATGGTCAGATTTGTGAGTTTGAACACCCGAAGTATTGTAACAGATTCTGTCAATACGGAAATCAGCACAAGTTTGGTTGCAGTAAAGGTCCAGACTGCAAGTTTCTTCACCCTGTGTTGTGCAAGTTTTCAGTTAAGAATAAACTTTGCACGAAGTCTGACTGCACTTTTATTCATTTGAAGGGTACCCGCCGTCAGACAAGCAACTCTGCTGTTGGACACAAGAAGGGAAAAGCAGAGAATAAGAAATCCATGCCATCAAAAGGTGTAACGGCGGCGAATCAGGATTTTTTAGAGTTACGGAGACTGTTGGAAACGATGCAAACCAGGATCGGACTCCTATCAGAAATAGTCGACCACCGGTCCAGCCTCCCTCAAACTCAAATGCCCTACCACTACCCCAGACCACCTCCACCTCTTCAGCCAGGAACAGCGCTCCCACTATACCACTACCAGTACCCGCAGTTCCTACCGCCTCAGAGGACACACGTGCCCCTTATTCCTCATGCCTCGTCTTAAATGTCCAGTCCATGAATCCTAGTGCATCAAGTACGAGTAGATGGAAAGTGCCAGAAATCTCAGATCTTATTCAGGATGAGAAATCCAGAAACCACTCGTTACCGTTTATAGCACTTACGGAAACGTGGCTCAAGTCCTATATGTCAGACGCACAACTGCAAATACCAGGCTATTCGGTATCTCGCAGCGACCGTGATGCAAGGGTGGGAGGGGGTGTTCTACTCTACTCTCATGTCAACTTACCGGTCAGTGAGTGTAACACGTTTGATGACGGCACGTGTGAGGGACTTTTCTGTAGTTTCAGCACTATAAAGACATGTGTTGCTGTGGCTTATCGTCCGCCTAATGCATCCTTGTCAAGCTTTAAAGCACTCCTCAGTTTTTTCTCCGTATGTATCAGTAGTATTAATGACGACAGCTACGATATAATGATGACCGGAGACTTTAACTTACCCTCAATTGACTGGCAGACAAATTGTGTTCAATCTGGAGGCACGCAAGAAATTCAGCAGTCAGCACAGCATTTCTTAACTTTCATGTCTGATCATCTGCTGAGTCAGTACGTAATGTGTCCAACGAGAGGAAACAATGTTTTGGACCTGTTTATTACTAACAACAACCGAGTTGTTACAAATGTTGAATGCAAAACCACAACAATGTCAGACCATCACGTGGTAGATGTTATGCTAGCATATAATCCACTTGAACAGGAGAAATCAGCAGTGCCGAAGTTTGATGAAAACTCGTACAGATGCCTTGATTTTCTCCAAGCAGACTTCAGCTCGCTCAGAGACGAGATAGAAGACACTAACTGGTCTCAACTTCGTTCTTCATGCTCTTTTGAAGACTTCCCAGCCTTGTTTACTGAGACCCTCTTTCAGATATGCTCGTCTCATATTCCCCGCAAGGCTAAACCTTCTGGGCGCCCAAAACATACCAATGCTTTGCGGCGTAAAAGGAACCGACTCCAGGCAAGGCTGAATGCCTTAGTCAACAATGGTGCACCTGACGATCACATCAGAAATGTTAGGAACAAGGTTGCACTCCTACAGTATGATATTCGATGTGCCCATACCAAGAGACTTGATGAAAAGGAATCCAGGGCAGTAGAAAAGATCAAAACAAATCCCAAGTTCTTTTTCAGTTATGCTAAGTCTCTGTCGAAGATCAAATCCAGTATTAACATGCTCTTTGATAGCAACCAGGAGATAACCACAGACCCCAAGAAAATGGCCGATCTGCTGCAGGAACAGTTCAGCTCTGTGTTTAGCGATCCGACCTCTCCTGATGTTAAGGATCCGGTTTTCTCCCCTCCCTCTATCCAGCACCCACAAGAACTAGAGGACTTTAGAATTAGTGACGAAGATATCATTTCAGCTATAAAAAGTATCTCTACAGATTCTGCTTGTGGACCGGACGGAATACCTACAACTCTCTTGAAAAACTGTGCTAAGGAGTTGTGTTCTCCTATACGTATTATTTGGGAGGAATCATTTGAAAACGGTACAGTGCCATCGTTCTACAAAGACACCTACATTACACCACTATTTAAAAAGGGTGACAGGGCCAAGGCAGTCAACTACAGACCAGTTGCTCTCACTTCGCACATCATCAAAGTGTATGAACGTATCCTCCGTGGTGTTATGGTTGACTTTATTGAGAAAAATCAGTTACTCTGCAACAACCAGCACGGGTTCCGCTCAGGAAGAAGCTGCCTTACCCAGCTGTTAAGTCACGTAGACGATATAGTTCAAGGTCTTACTAGAAATGCAGACACTGACGCTATATATCTGGATTTTGCCAAAGCCTTTGATAAGGTCGATCATCGGTTACTGCTTCTGAAAATGAAGAGATTGGGGTTTCATGAGAAGGTGGTAAACTGGATCCGATCCTTCCTGACTGAAAGGAAGCAATGTGTTGTGTTAAATGGTGTATCATCGTTTGCTGCCGCAATCCTCAGTGGAGTTCCACAAGGCACCGTTCTTGGGCCACTGTTATTCATTCTGTTCATAAATGATATGAAGCTATGTGTTAAAGGGTCTGTCATCAGATTCTTTGCTGATGACACTAGGATTCTTAAGCATATCTACAGTTTGGCCGACAAAGATGTCCTGCAGGATGATCTCAACTCTGTTGTTAATTGGGCTAAGTGCAACAACATGGCCCTTCATGAGGATAAGTTCGAGCTTCTTGTTCACAAGCATTGTCCAAAGAATTCCTTGTTTGATCATCCATTCGCCATCCAAGCGCAAACATATGAAGTGTCTAACGGAAACATGCTGTACCCCACTCAAACGGTGAAAGATCTAGGAGTGACAGTTTCCGCTGATTTGTCCTGGACCCCACACGTCAACAGGATAGCTGAACGCGCAGGAAAAGTTGCTTCTTGGGTGCTAAGTGCGTTCAAAACGAGAGACAAAGCCACCATGATGACTCTGTACAAGTCTCTCGTTAGAAGCCATCTGGAGTATTGCTGTCCTCTGTGGAATTGCTCTAAGAACAAGGACATCCAACAGCTAGAAGGGATTCAGCGTACGTTTACATTGAAAATAGATGGCACCCAGCACCTCAACTACTGGCAGAGATTAAAGGCCCTAGATCTGATGTCATTGC